GGAGGGATTTGAAGACCGACGATCGTAGGGTGGGGGGAGGGATTTGAAGACCGGCGATCGTAGGGTGGGGGGAGAGATTTGAAGACCGGCGACGTGGGATGGGGGGAGGGATTTGAAGACCGGCGACGTGGGGGAGGGGCTGTGAGCGATGTGTGAGACCTGTTGGGAGAGAGGGCAAATATGGAAAACGAGGAGTCTGAATGGTTTAGAGACCCCTTAGATGCAAAATGGTTAAGAGAGAAAATGTAACCATTCAGAGCCATTTTTTTTGCCAAACAACCTTGACCTCTTAGCGATTAAGAGGTTGGCTCTTAATGTAACCATTAAGAGCCAAACAAACAACCCCTGAATTAATGACTTAACTGGTGTTTGATTTAGGCAAAGAGCCAAAGAAATGAAAATGAAATGGATTGATTGTAGGAATGGATTTTCAGTTCCCTCAATTTGATCTGGAATGAAGAAATAGACCCATTATCTATACTATATTATAAAGTATTTGACAAAAACTTTTCAAAACTAATTTTTATGCGTAAAATACTGTTTATTAATGCATATTATTAAAACTCAAGATTGTAAGTAGATTGTACGCAAGTACAACTTATTAAAACTCTATATCTGAATTCGTGTAACTAACTGTTGATAAACATCTCATTTTAAATATAAAAAATTTAAAATATAATTAGGATAATCATTGAATTCTAACATAATACTTAATTATTATCTTTATAAAATTTATAATATTAAACCAAAAATAAATTATTTCATTATTAAACTCATATTAAATTATTTTAAAAAAATAAATTACATAAATTATATAAAAAATAAGAACTTTTAAATAGTTGATTTAATACTAATTTCGCTTATTTAAAAAAATTATAATATTTCATTCAAAAATAAAAACATTTTATTTTTTCTCAAAACCACATAAAATCGCATTATAATATCGATAAAGCCAAAATATAAAACAAAACATTAAAATCAAGATGTATCTCGCTGTATTACGTGAATACCCTTCTAGTATTATATAAAGTAAACAATTTTTTATTTTTTATTTTTATTAATTACTATTTAATACTCCTAGTTGAGCTCACCTTCTATATTTGAATCCCCTTTTTATCGGGAGCATCATCAACATATTCTCCAAACTGGATTTTTTGGGGATTTTTTGTTTTAACAAAATTTTCAAAACCTTCTTCAAAATGGAGAAAGTATGAAAAAGATTGTGAAAAATATCAAATTTAGAGATTTAAAAAAAATAACTACATATGAAATAAAAAACTATTAGGGTTATTCACCAAAACGACCAAAATATACTTGATATATTAGCGAAATAACCAATTTTTACCAAAATTGCCAAAATAACCACACGGATCGCCCCCGGGGTAGATGTTTTACCCGGGGGGGGGGGGGGGGGGGGATCCTGACCAAAAAGTACAAAAAAAAATTAAAAAATTAATTTGGTGGGTCCCACAATTCACATGTATCACCTTTTGAAAACCAAACACTATTTGATTCGATAAGTGGAATCTACCCTTGGGGCGATCCACCTCACCCAATCGCTCTCCGGGGGCGATCCATGTATTTTTTTCTTCATTTTTTGGTCTTTTAGTTTATATCGATTAAGAGGTGTTTTTAATAAATATGAGATGATTTAAACTGTTTTTTTTTCTTTTTAGGACCAAATGTCATGGTTTTAGTGATTATAGTCCCCCGATCGCTTATTTATAAATCGTTACATAATAAGACAAAATATATCGTTAAATCGGTGTCAAATCATAGACACTAAATGACGAGATTAGCTGTCAAACTACATAAATCAGATATAATATCTGATTTTTGTCCCCCGAATCAAATAAAAATAATTTTTTTTCATGTCCACAATTATCATGGTTTTATTTTATAAATTAAAACCATGACATTTGGTCCTAAAAAAGTATAAAAAAATTAAATACCGTCTCCTATTTATTAAAAACACCTCTTAATTGTCAAATCGATTTAGACACTAAAAGACGAAATAACGGTCAAACTACGTAAATCAGATATAATATTTGATTTTTGTCCCCCAAATAAGATAAAAATAATTTTTTTGTGTCTACAATTATCATGTTTTATTTTATAAACTTAAACCATGACATTTGATTCTAAAAAGGTAAAAAAAAAAGTTTAAATATTGTCTCCTATTTATTAAAAATACTCATTAATCGATATAAATAAAAATAAAAAATGGATCAGGCGAGGTGGATGGCTCCAGAGGTAGATCCCACTTATCGAGACAAATAGTGTTTGGTTTCTTAAATGTGATGTATGTAAGACCCACCAAATTAATTTTTTAATATTTTTTATCAAATGAGAGAGGATCGCCCCCGGTGGTCAAACCTTTTGTTTCTCCGTTTTAAAGAATATAACTGCCTCCAAACATATCATAATATTTTTATACATCTTGAGTGTTGTTTTAACCTAAAAAGGTTCCAAATACCAATACTCTTAAACAACCGGTGTTTGGTAAAGCTAAAAGCAAAAGTACAATCATTAAACCAAACCATAACCTCTTTCCCTATGCCAACTAACCAATTTATTATATCTTACTTGCTACCCTCGATTCAATTTACTTTTCTTTTTAAGTTGAATTCAAAGTTATTAAACCAGACTGCTGTTGGAGCAGTCTTCGAGTATAGGGTGATAGAGATGGTACAAGAGCCGATCCTGGTAGCACCAAGATGGTCGGAATAAACCTCAACGATGAACGTGATGATGAGTCCTACGACGGATGTTTGGGACATTTTAGGCGAATCCCATATCGTCCGTTACAAGAATTCAAGTAAACCTCTTAAATACCATGACTACATTTATGGCTCAAAAACCTTCCTTGTTAAACAAACAACTCTACATCTCTAAAGATTTATTACAAAACACCCCTCAAATAACATCCATCAAACACTCCAAAACTAAAAAATCTAAAGGTTTAAATTGTCATTTTACAAAGCCTATGAGTTAGTAGTAGTAGTAGTACCTGACGAGCTTCTTTTAGAATGTTGTGAACTAAACCACATACACTTATCTTTTACTGCTTCACTCCCTCTACCATACTCTTTAAACTCATACTCCTCTTGCTTCAACCCATTCGGAACTTTCCCTTCACTGTAACACTGACTACACACACTAAATCGCGATTTCATCTCTTTAAACCGCGACCCGATGACAGGGTATCGGCAGACGGCGCACGCGTGGCTGCCATGCCGATTCCGGTCCCCGTTTTCAAGCTTCAAAAGGGTAGACATCACTCCGAAACCCCAATCTGGATCATCAAACATAGCAAGAAACTCGGCCAACGACACCATTGAACCGTCTGTTTCGCCATGGATTTCTAATCTCTCACTGATCGTTTGTGACGGAATATAGATTGATCTCAATAGCTTTATGTAGTGTAAAGCATCGGCTTTTCTAATCTTTCCATCGTTCCCATTTTCGTTCACTGGTCGCCATAGAAGTGAATCGAATGCTACCCTTTTCCTTTTATCTGGTGTGCCACCACAAATTGGAGCTAGAACTGCAAAAAACATGCCCAAATCCACCCTCCCAGATTCTGATTCGTCTAAAACCGAAAGGATTTTGAGGTTAATAGCTTTAACAGCTCCTACAAAAGTTTCGGGTTTCAAGAAACTCAGTAACCTTCGAAGAATGGCCTCTAAAGCAGCTTTACGTATCGATTTCTCAGGGACTCCATAGCCAGAATACGTCAAAGGGGCTTCAGTTTCGTTCATATCCTTCTTAAGAAGCTCGACATCACATCTAAACAATCTCGTGATCCTTTGAAAAGACCGAATATCAAGAGCAGTGGCTAAATCCTGCCTCATCGTGGTTTTTTCACCAACGGTTTTGAACTTTGAAGGTTCCACGACAGTAAACGAATCCTCCTCGTTTCCATTATTACCCTTGAGTTTCTTCTTCTGAAGTTGCTTCAAATGAGAAAGGGCATCGTGCAATTCAACCCTGCTGGTCATTTTCAAAGCCTCTTTCAAAGATTTTTTCGCTTCTTCGGTTTCCCCTGCACCTAATAACGAAACCGCCTTATTAAGCTGAGCCCTCCAATGGTTAGGCCACAGCCCCAAGACCCTAACGTAAACCTCTGAAGCTCGTTGGTACCGACCCATATCCATATAAAGACCACCAAGATTATACAAAGCATCAACATGACCAGGCTTCAAGTCAATCGCTTTCTGAAACTCTTTAACCGCGTTCTCATCGTTGCCCATCGCGTGCAAAGCCGAAGCTAGATCACAATGGGCATCAGCATAGTCATGTTTCAGGAAAATGGCTTCTTCTAAGGCCTTTACAGCAGCCTTATACTCACCTACACCAAATAAAGCACTACCCAGAAGTTTTAAAGCTCTAAAATGAGTTGGGCAAAGAATAGCAGCTTCTCTGTAATGCTCACAAGCTCTCATAACCATACCTTCACCTTCAAGAGATATCCCAAGATTCACATGAATCTGAGGAAGAAGATAACCCCATTGATTACCACCTGCTTCAGCTGCATCTAAAGCTAATATGAACTCATCTTTAGCTTCACTGTGTCTGCCAAGAACATAATAACAGTTTCCTGACCTAAAATGTGGACGGACGTCCGTGGGTTGTAATTCACAAGCTCTTTTGAAACATACCAAAGATTCTTTAGATAATTGTTGGTCGTATAAGATCCGACCTAATGCCATATGCCCATCGAAAGCTTCTTCTCTTGATCTTGACCCATCTGCCCTGGACCTTAAAACCCCTAATTCCTTCACGAAAACAGTATAATCATGGCGGTTTTCTTCCCAAACGATCTGTTTGTTCATCTCCGTTGATGGGCCGAGCTCACGAGACCAACCTGGATCGGAATACGCATCGGAATTCTCGCCTTTCATCTTCAAATCCTTCATTTGTTTCGTCTTCAACCTCTTTATCAGAATCTCCAAATCGTCGACGAGTTTCCACGTGTCGTCGAAGATAATCCCGTGGTTTGGCGACGCCGCCCATGTCGCCGTCCGGTGCTGCTTTTGCGGCTCCGGCGACTTCACTCTCTCATCAACGACCGACGATGTGGAAGCTTCTTCGAACGCCATGGAGGCTGCAGCTTCGTTATTGTCAATGTTGTTGTCATCGTCGTCGGGTTTCAGCTCAAGTCCCAAAGCTTCGAAATCACGGTCGACGTCGCCGGCACCGTCGTCGTAGGTACGTAACAAGCCATCGTAAGTAAGACCTGTAGCGGCGTCGATGAAATCGCCATAGGTACGGAAAACTTCGTCGAGGATGGCACTAATCTGCTCGTTGCTAAATTTAACCCTAGGGTTTACAGCAACAACAAGAGCAGCCATTTCTTGTCTGTTAAGACCACCATCTCTGTTCAAATCAAACTGATGAAAGATCCTCTTCACCTTCTCCGATCTGCTACCTCTTGTCGCCATTTTTGTGTACCCTCAGAAGCTCAAAATGCAGACTTTAACAAAAGGAAATGGAGGTAGAAGGCAACCCCACAACACAAGATTGATTGGGTAGAATCTTGAAGCGAATTAGTATTGTAATTTACGGAAAAGATGTAGAAATTTCAACCTAAAATGGGTCCAAGAAAGAAGAAGAGTACAAATCAATTAAAGAGAGACAGAGATGGAGATAGGGGGAGAGAGGTGGTTGATATCATCTTCATCATCTTCTACCTTCTTCTGTGCCTGTCTGGCTTCAGCTGTGATGATGGCGATGGTGTGAGAGGAGACAAACTTGAACCATTGTTGTCAATCTCCTGCTGCCTGTTAATTTAATCTTATTTTATTTTGGGTGATTCTTAACAAATATTCTTTAGAGATTTATCCTCTAATCTCTATAATTTTACAACGACTATTTAAAGTGAATTACATTTTTGGTCCATGTTCTTTTGTTTTGGTCTATTTTTTGTGTTTTAGGGCTAAATATGTCTTCTTAGTTAACACCGTTAACTAAAGCTTCGTTAGTCATTTCATATATTCGGGAGGGACATTTTAATCATTTTATCCTCTTTTCTTATATTTCTGTAAAAACAAAAATGAAATGAGATTTATAATATAAATTATATATAAAAAATACTAGTACCCAATAGTGATGGCCAAATCGGCCCGACCCGGCTCGGGATCGGTTATGGGATCGAAAACCGAGACTGATTGGTGTTTTTGATAGTTTCGTGGGGGCCCGAAAATTCAAATAGTTTTATAAATAAATGTATTTTCAAATAATTTTATAATGTATTTTTATAAGACAATGTAATTTTAATTATATTAAAACGCATTTTTAAAGTGTATTTGAGTGACCCAATTGTAAATTTTATAATGTATTAAAAATATATATCATTAAAAAAAAATTAAAAAATCTTATTTTTTTAATGTTGGGACAGGTTAGGATTGGGACTGGCGGCCATAACCGGTTATGAAATACCTTGACCTGTCCAACCATTTTCGACCGAGATCAGTTACGTCGGGACCGAGACCGGTTATGCCGGGACCGGTTATGTTCGGACTGGTTATGCCCGGTTATGAAAAAGCTTAGGACCGATTAGGCCCGGCCCGGGACCCATTTTTGGCCATCACTAGTACCCAATGCTTAGCTTTCTCGGTAAAGACCAACCTCAACCTTCCTTTCTCCCTTGCAACTTCAGATTATAATTATCGTTGCCATCCAATCTTAGATTCTCCCTTGTTCCTTCTTTCTTTTCCAACTGAGACCACCATCATGACCTCCTCTGTCAATCCGACTGGGCTTCTCCATCCTCAATTATGAGACCATCGACCGACCCTTTCCCTCCCCTCACTATGGCACCAGTTGAACCTCCATCCATTTACCATCTTAGGCGAATCTCACATTACCGATTACAAAAAGGAAGATTTTAGGCATGTGCATGAGGACGTCAAGAGTTTAAGTGGGAGAGTCTGTAAGAACTCGTACCTCATGGATAGAAATGGAATTTGTAAGCTCCTTATAAGCATCAAGTTGTGACGTACCAATAACTTCCGCCATGGTTTTAAGTTTGATTCGAAGTTCTTGGGTCAACCCGTTGCTTTGGGCTTGCAGTGTTACAAATGGTATCAAAGTCAATCTTTGTACCATCGGGATGGTGGGACAAACCTCATCGGGTATGATGAGTTCTTGAGGGGGAGGTTTGTTAGTCCCAAAGGGAATGACAATAAACATAAAGTAATTGTAGAAAGGGGTTGAATACAATTACACAGACTTTTTTCAACTTTTTAATTCTTATTGATTTATATCAAGAATTAATACACACAGAAATACACAAGATTGTTGTGGAAGATAGGAAAGGAAAACCTAACCTAAACAATCTTACAAGGAGAAGAACTTTCAAGAACAACACAAAGAGTTCTTGAAAGGAAATGAAGAACACTAAGAATTTCTTCGCACACAGGAGAGCAAGGGAGAAGAAGAGAATAGCCGATTGCTTTGAGAATGCACTAAGTAATCTTGCAAAAGCCAGTTATGTGCATGGGAGATGCACACTGCCTTTTTATACTACCTTCAGCATTTAATGCATGGGGACACTTGACACCTGAGGATAAGAAGGCAGGGGTTGACTTGACCAATGTTGATATCTCATTTTCATCATACACAGCGTGCATACAACACTATTCATGCAGAGACAAACTTTGCAGAGATATGGTCAGTCTGTAGGAAGATCTCATTTGGATGGATATGTAGCTTCAAGCAGCTACTCACAAATCTTCGCTTCATGATCTTCAATCTTGAGTCCATGAAGATTTTCAATCTTCGGTCCATGATCTTCAATCTTGAGTCCATGAAGATTTTCAATCTTCGGTCCATGATCTTCAATCTTGAGTCCATGAAGATTTTCAATCTTCGGTCTATGAAGATCTTCTTTCAATCGGTTTGTAGCATCAAAATATTTTCAATATTCATTTCAGCTACTTTGGAGTCTTGGTGTATATATTAGACAGTTGATCCACAACACCGCATCGGTGACCTTCTGTCTTCACATCGGCTAGTCTTCGATTTTGCCAATGGCTTAAGTATGTACCAAGACACCAATATATAAAGAACCAATAACTACTAAGTGTTGCTAAGGTAGAGAAACAGATCAGTGGGTCATCAACAAATCAATAGGTGACCCAACAAGGTTTGTAACATCTTAGGCGAATCCCACATCGCCAATTACAAGGAGAAAGATTTTGAGCATGGCCTGACAAGGACGTAAGGAGTTTAACTGAGGAAGTTTATAACAACTCGTCCCACATAGATAGAAAACGGATTTGTGAGCTCCTTGTATGCCTTAAGTTACCAATAAATTATATCATTGTTTTAAGTTGGATTTGAAGTTATTGGACAAGTCTGTTGCTTTAAGCTTGGGATGTTAACATCCGTGGGGCACTGCCTTTTTGTGAGCTTGTATATGGTTTTGGTTTACGACAATTCAACTTCAGATGATCTTGGTTTACAAACTTGATGATTTTGATTTCGAACGAATCAAATAAAAACACTTCAAAGAAGCAACAGAAGACAAAAGATCAAACAAATCTGATTTGGGGTTTTGCTTTCGAACGATTTAGATCCATATTCAAATGCATAGTGAAATCCACAGTTTTGATTTATATTTAGATTTGGGTTTTTCCTTTGAATCTGATTTATATGAATGAGAGTTGATTTTTGATTCTTGAGTATATTCATGTTAATCTTCAAATGGGTTTTGTTCATTTGTTCTCACTCATATTCATCTTTATAAAATTTATGTTCTTGTTATTTGTTTTAATCTAATGGTGTTTTTGTGGTATTGATCTTAATTTTTTTTTGCTTCAGATCTGTGTTTGACGGTGGTCGGTGAAGGTGGAAGATGGTGGTGGCGATGGTTGTGAGTGGCGGCGGCAGTGTTGGTAGCGGGGGTATGTTCTTGGTTGAGGAGGAAGAAGATGGGAGGAAGGAGGGTAAAGACCAGATTGCCCCTCACTCAAGACGCACACATGAGGTGACTAATGGAACTCTAGTTAACGGTGTTAACTCGAGAGACATTTTGGGCTTTAGAATATAAAAATGGACTACTAGTGTAATTTACGAATTTTAAGGACCAAAACCTAAAACCAGTCAGATAAGGGACCAAAAATTAATTCCTTATAATATTTAGAAAAAAAATGTAGAAATTTATAATTACTATATATAAAGATGTCACATTCATTTTTCCAAGGAATCGTGACAACATGTCTTAACATAAAACATACACAACCATTAATAGTTAGAGCATAAGACTATAACATAATAAGTTAATAACAATTATATCGTCTTTAACTACAAGGATGGTGCCTGATTGGTTTGAGTGTGGCTTCAAAAGTCAAAAATACCAAGAGGTCTCAGGTTCAAATTCAAGGAGAAATAAAAATCCCCTT